TTATAAAGCCTTGGGTTTTGAACTCCCAAAGCGCATGTACAGGACTGTCTATTCACGCGTGGGAGGGCAAAACTGTCACTTCCTTTTTGGCGCTAGCTCTATCTCAATTAATTATATACAAGTGAATGCGTGTGAATGATAGCCGATTCAAATATTGAAGGGGTGTGTAAATGTGGAATGATGAAATGCTTAATTAAATGTCAGCAATTGGGTCACTTTCCCTCTCTTTTGTTGTGTTGTTGGACAGGAATTGAAAGCAAGAAGCATGTCTTGAAGGGTTGTGGCTGTAAATGTAGTCGATGTGCTGTGTAGGACCTTTCTTGCACGCTCTATGCGGGCGCAGGTCGGTCGTCATTAGGTAACTAATTAAGTGGAGATTTGAAATTACTGATCATGTACTTAATTTCCCCCACACTTTTGCAGTTTAATAATGATTAGAGTGTGTTGTTAACTTTTCGATTTAGAAAACGAGCTGTTATGAACATGTCTTGGCTCTCAAGTGGAAGTCAATTGGAGCCACACAATGTGATGGAATAAAATTAAGAGTTAATATATAATTTGAATTCTAAATAAATTATAGGTATTGGAGTAATTTGAATCCTAAATCTTTAAAAAAATACATTTTAAATTTTAAATAATTAAAGTTAGGACAATTTTGCTCCTATCATTAACTTTCAACAAATGTCCATCAAATTCATTTAAGAAAAATTACATTTTAGGCTCTAATTTAACAAAAGTTTATTGAAAGTTAAAAATAAGGGTGAAATTGTTTTAACTTTAATTATTCAGAGCTTAAAATGCATATTTTTAAAGGTTTAGGGTTCAAAGCGCCCATATACCTAAAGTTTATGGTCCAAATTACATATTAACCCTTTTATATTTTAAAAAATGCACTCTAATCAATAATAATTCAATAGTAACAAAAAAGTGTATTTTTCATATTATATTAATTTTTAAAAAGATTTTAAAAGAGTATGTAAGTTTTTTGGTTTGAATTGATTGATGAAGGTGAAAATTTATAAAATAGAACCAAATACTTTTATAATAAATAAAGTGACAAAGAAAAAAAATGTATGAAGAGAAACCTATTCAAGATTTTTTCTTAACAAAGAATGATAATGTTTTTTTTTACTGATATTATTATGAAATTCCATTATATCAAAGAATAAATAGGAAAAAAATATAAAACGTGCACTTATAGTGAAAGATTATGTTACACTTCTATTATTGCCATTGATAGCCTTTCAAAACCCCACTCAGTAAGAACAAAAATAATTAACTCGACATCGTTTCACTTATACCCACTATAATCTCCACCAAAAATTATTTTACTCATTATTACAATTTACAGCTTTCTTTCTTTATAGTGTTATTATCCTCATCATCATTATTATTTACTTTCTTTTATTGTTTCTTCTCCTGAAAAAATTTGTAATATTATTACATGTTAATATGCAATTTGAACCCTAAACTATAGGTTTAGAGACGCTTTGAATCCTAAACTTTTAAAAAGGTGCATTTTAAACTATAAACAGTTAAAGTTGGGATAATTTTGTCTCTATTATTAACTTTCAACAAATGTCTGTCAAATTGAGACCTAAAATACATTTTTTTTCAAATAGATTTGACAGACGTTTGTTGAAAGTTAACGGTAGTAGTGAAATTGCTCCAATTTTAATTGTTTAGGGTTCATAATGTACTTTTTTAAAATTTATGGTTTAAATCACTGCTGTACCTATAGTTTAGAGTTTAAATTACATATTAACCCTAAAACTAAAGCCACTAAAGAAAATGACACTTAATTAAGGAAATTCCAATTCTTTTTAGTTATGAACTATTTACATATAGTTAATTAATTAACAGTTCTACAAATCACTTAGATAATTTTTATGAGCTCGCCATGCAATTATTTATCAATATTCAGATCTACGGAATCGAATTAGACATGAGTTGCAGTATTCATATATATAATAACTCTTGAATGCGGTACCGTGAGAGTTATTAATTATAAAATAAATATGGATATATATATATAAAGTTATGTTTTTGAGGGGGGTTACAAAACATTCTTTGGTTGAGATGAAAAAAGGTGGGATGCAAAAGCTAAAAAGGAAAAGGGAGAGGATGTAGCTCATTTATGCTACAAAAATCTGTCCCCATTGATTTTCGGTCAAACCTTTACGGGGCCATCATTTGCACTCTCACAAGCAATTTCCCTCACCACCACATCATTTTACTTCATCTCCCCCCCCCCCCCACAACAAAAATTATGGTCAACAAATTGTTTTCACTACGTACTAAATTTTATTCAACTTACCTTGCAAAAAAAGATACATTTTTCTCTTCAATTTTTTTATTATATATTGATAATGAAATGCTGGTTAACTTGTTTTATGGGGGAAAAATACTAGGAACTGTTTGGAACTTTGGATAGAGTACGTCGTCATTGAAAATTAATTAATTAATTAGACATGTTGGACTAAGAATGCTTTTATCTGAAGTTACTTCCAAAACACAGCACTAATCAAAATTGGAAAGAAACATGTACCCTGAGAGAAGCTTTTTTTTTTTTTTTAGGGCTTCATGACCCATAATACCTACCCACCCATATTTACACTCATTCTTCATAGGAAAGAAACATACACACACCAAAATTTTCTCCACTCTGGGAATTGAACACACATCCTCCTTATTACAAGAGAAGAGTGTTGATGTCACTAGGCCACAAGGGCCGCCAGCAGTTGTAACACCCTCAAATTTACAGACTGATTTTTCACAAGTTATTAATTCAGCAAATCCTTTTTTTTTATTTTTATTTTTTTTTTCATTGAACCCTTATCATGGTAGAAAAATTTCTACCACGATACATTCAAGACAATATACCACAGGTCTTAAAATATCTCAAAAAAAAAAACAATTAGAACCATGAGGGACAGACATGATCCTCATAGCATGTTATTCAAATCAGATCATAAATCAAGAGCGACAGACATAATCCTCTTGGTCATATAAATACTTTTAATAAAAAGGATTAGAGTTTACATGCTTCACAAAGAAGATATGTCCTAAGTTGGCACAAGATACATTGTATAATCTAAAATAAGAGGCAACGTAAAAGATGGTGTCTCATACACCACAGTTACACCTCTGGTGCTTTCTCGGCCGGACTCACTCCTGTAAAAATATTAACCACGGGGAATGAGACTTAAAAGTCCCAGTAACCAAAAATTAATATGTAATGATGCATGCGGATGTAACTAATCATGTGATTGCTAAGTGGGCACACAAAACATTTAACCGAACAATACTTTCAAACAAACCGAACAAGTATTTAATTTGCATGACTGCACCTTATATCCTCCTTTCGCCATGCTCGGACGCCAAATCACCCGGCCAAAGGTGAGTTGGACCAAGCGACACGCCACTCATTGGGTCCAATGAGGGCTTACCACGTGGTAATAATTAACCGAACAGAAATTCCCATTAACACCGTACATTAAAATACCCTGACAAGTCATGCATCATTCAAATATCCAAACAGGAATATATCCGAACAATAATATCTCATCATGATAAATAAAAAATAAATTTTTAACCCACTTGGCAATAATTTCAAACAAGTATATACAGTATTTATTTTCAATAATTCATAATTTTTCCAAAAAACAAAGCAACACATAACCATTCACTATACTCGGAGCAGGGGTAGATACTATTGGGCCCCTCTATGATTTGTGATAACCACTATAATAACTCCTCTATCCTTGGCCCTTTTGAAATGGACTCTTCTGCCTTCCCCAGTTCCATGAGCTACTCGAACCTTGATGGTTCTTCTTCATAATACCTCCTATGGGTTGGGGATAGGTTGGGGGTCTACTATATGAATACCCCCTCTTCTCTCTCTCAACCTCCCTCTTACTGTGAGCTACTACTTGCAATTTTATGCACATTTCATCATAGTCTCGGATCAATTGCTCCCTCAATTCTGGTCTAGCCTTCTCCAATAAGCGCTTGGCCTTCCATTCAGAATCATCCCTATACTACAAGTATGTGAAGTATCTAGATAACTCCTGAAACTTAGCAATGAATGTGTCCTTATATAGGTTTCCTTGCTTAAGCATGGAACTCAGCTTCCTTCTCAGACCTTAACTTTGATGGAAAGTAATGCCTGAATAATTTTTTTTTTCTTAAACTCCTCTCATGTGAGTGTCGAATCATCCTTGGGTCCCACTGTCTCCCACCAATCTCTTGCTCCCTTCACTAGGAGCACTAATGCTACTTGCACCTTCTAATTACTGGTGCATGTGACTACTCGAAAGATGGACTCGAGTCTTTTCACCTATTCCTTTACCACAGATGGTTTAAGGTTACCATCAAACGTAGGAGGGTTAAACTTCCTAACAGTTTCCCACACATCAATAATGGTCGGTGGGACTCTCTGTTCCTCTTACCTAGTCTCCTCCCTTCTAAGCTCATAATCCCTCGGAATGGTAGGATGTGAGGAACTGCCTTCCCCTACATGACTCTCAACATGAGCCCTATCTCCATTCTCAGCGAACTTTATCTTTTTAGCTCCGTCAACTCTCGTTCATATTTTTGAACCTTGTCTGTTAACGTCTTTACAAGCACTCTCAATTCTGCCAAGTCAAGCTCCTCATTTAGCAGTGGCGGTGGTAGGTGCTCATGTTGGAATCTTGAGTTACCACGAGTAACAGGCATTTTCTCTCCCCTCCTAAAGGATACAAGATATAAATAATAAAATTAGCCTAGCTATATCATGGCCATACAATGAGAAGCACCATAACAATGTATATTGCCAACCGACTATATGCTCTGATACCAATATGTAACACCCTCAAATTTACAGACTGATTTTTCACAAGTTATTAATTCAACAAATCCTTTTTTTTATTTTTATTTTTTTTTCATTGAACCCTTATCATGGTAGAAAAATTTCTACCACGATACATTCAAGACAATATACCACAGGTCTTAAAATATCTAAAAAAAAAACAATTAGAACCATGAGGGACAGACATGATCCTCATAGCATGTTATTCAAATCAGATCATAAATCAAGAGCGACAGACATAATCCTCTTGGTCATATAAATACTTTTAATAAAAAGGATTAGAGTTTACATGCTTCACAAAGAAGATATGTCCTAAGTTGGCACAAGATACATTGTATAATCTAAAATAAGAGGCAACGTAAAAGATGGTGTCTCATACACCACAGTTACACCTCTGGTGCTTTCTCGGCCGGACTCGCTCCTGTAAAAATATTAACCACGGGGAATGAGACTTAAAAGTCCCAGTAACCAAAAATTAATATGTAATGATGCATGCGGATGTAACTAATCATGTGATTGCTAAGTGGGCACACAAAACATTTAACCGAACAATACTTTCAAACAAACCGAACAAGTATTTAATTTGCATGAATGCACCTTATATCCTCCTTTCGCCATGCTCGGACGCCAAATCACCCGGCCAAAGGTGAGTTGGACCAAGCGACACGCCACTCATGGGGTCCAATGAGGGCTTACCACGTGGTAATAATTAACCGAACAGAAATTCCCATTAACACCATACATTAAAATACCCTGACAAGTCATGCATCATTCAAATATCCAAACAGGAATATATCCGAACAATAATATCTCATCATGATAAATAAAAAATAAATTTTTAACCCACTTGGCAATAATTTCAAACAATTATATACAGTATTTATTTTCAATAATTCATAATTTTTCCAAAAAATAAAACAACACATAACCATTCACAAACACACCCATCACAACACATTAATAATGGTTACCTTGTGTCTTGAATAACAAGTTCCCCTTCACAACTCCTTTTTCACCACTATCTTTGTCAATATAATCTACATAATTATTTCACAATACTATATATTAATTTTACATTAAAATAAATAACTCTAATTTAAAGAGTTAGAAAGTCTTAGATCTATAATCCATATTAACACTAATTTAAGATTTATGCCTCATTTAACTTCCCAAATTCTTTTCTAAAATTCTCGTACCCTAATAAACTATTTTTTTATCCTCAAATCACTTTTAGTATCACAATTTCATCCTTCTATATTCTAAAAATTCGTCCAAAAAATAAATTAAATTTTAAAATTATCCTAAAACCTCAAATCACCTTTCTATAACCTCAAAAATACCTATTCATACTTAAATAAATATTTAATAATCATAGGTTTATCCCTACATCTCAGATTTTACATAAATTCAACCATATAGATCTAGATTTTAACTCAAAAATTATTAAACATGAGTTTCAACCTCAAGAAAATATTCTATAATATTTATTATATCCCTAAGAGTTTTAACCTATATTTTTAATCCATCATATCATCAGATTAACTATCCTATAGAAAAATCCTAATCAAAATATTTACTCTATCCTACAAAATAATCATATCACTAGAAAGCTAATATTATTTAGAAAATAACTATAAAATTAATTTTATAATTAAATAAATTTTTAAATGCTAATCTAAACAAGAAAGTTAGAACATACCTGAAGAAAAAGAAAATAATCCCCCCTTGCGAGAAAACGCCGAGCAACGTGAGAGGAAGAGAGAAAAATAATATAAAAATGAGATTGTGAGTCCCAAAATTATATTAAAAAAAAACTATAGGTTTGAATTTAATTATTCAAACCTTTGGGCCAAAAGTTGCAATTTCCTCTAAATTGCATCTTAGCCTCTCATGCTTCCTAATGCACACACCCCCTCCTTTTTATACATGAAGGCACCTCTTCTCTTCCCTCATCTAACCAATGTGGGACTTAGAAACAACAACCTTCCACCCCCCTTTTTTTGTTCTTTCTACCTTCTCTGTTTTTTTTTAACACACACGTAAAAAAAATTATTTATGTATTATATCTTAACTAAATATTGCTTATGTGGTTTTAAATTTAAATTTTTAAATTCATAATTAAATACCTAACCATAATATTATTTCTAAATAACCTCAAATAATATAAATTCCTATTATTATCATTTTTTTTTCAAAACCTAAATTCCACAATTTTTTTTATTATATAAAAATCAGGATGTTACAGCAGTAGCCTTGACTAAAAATGAAAAGAGGGAAGCCTTTTTTCGCCCCTTTAGTGATGTGATGGGGAGTTTAATAAACAGGTAAACAAGAAATTTATCCAATGTTACATGATTGTATCTAAATTTCTACAAACTGATATTGAGAGGACAAATTTCACACTTATCATTACTATTTTAATGATATTATGTATTTATATCTTGAATGAAAGCATGATTCAGGATTTCAAGTATTTTAAGAATACGGTTTATTAGCATGTTTTCAGAAATAATTACAAATCAATCATTGAAAATGACAGTAGTTTCAGGGTCATGAATATAATTGAAATAGATGTTTTTTGTTTGCATTTTTGGGGCGTGGATAGATGAAGGGATGAGGAAAAGGGGAAGAATATAGATAGATAGATGTAGAAAGGGAAAAGGGAATTGTGATGATGGGGACGGAGATTTCGAGGAGAAGGCTTTCACGTGTCCGAAGCTGCCGAAGGCTAAATAGGAATCACAAGCAAGTCAGGTTACGTCCCTTTTCTTGCATTAATCTATCCAAATCAACAGCTGTGTGTCACGTCCTTATTAATTCCTCTTCAACCTCCTCCTTCTCTCAATTATTCCTGCTTCAATCTCATCGGATTGCGTTTCTTTTGTCTACTTTCTAACATCCCATCACTTTTCATTCATATATACTTCTTCCATTCTATCTTTATCCTTACCAAATTGACCAAACATAAGTCGATTCAAACTTATGCGCAAAGTCTCACATAAAGAAATGTATTTAGTAACTAATAGTATAAAATAAATAAAAAAAATTATAAATTTAAGCCTTACAATTTTAAATTAAGATGTGATTTTATTTTATCACTCTTGCCCAACTCCTATTTTTGGGCAATCGCTATTAGAATTGGTGGTTAGGATGTCATTAATAGAGGTGTTATTCCATCACTCTTCATTCATTTGTTTGTTTTTGGACGGTCACTTTCTATTCTTAATAAGCGATACTTCTTATTTTATATTAGTTATTAAATTTAATTTTATTTAATGTAAGACTTTTTATATTTGTTTAAGTTCACTGAAACTTGAGCAACAGAACAATCCTTGCTTCTAATATTTCCCACCAAATTACCCTGATGCTGACCTTTATTTTGCTTGGCAACTTGTTGCTGATGGGGTCAACTTGGACCAACCATGTCATTTTTACAAATTACACTGGATAAACTCAACACACTCCCTCATGATTTATTTATATCACATCTTTTAAAAGTAATTTTTAATTTAAAATATAAAATATTTTGTAATAATTAAAGCACTTTTTTAATTTTATGCTTTTTAATTAACGTAAAAATATTTAATATAATTGTATCCTCATTTAAAATCAAAGGTAAAAATAAAAATATATTTTATTTTTTTTATAATATAAAAAAATTAACTTTTTTTTAATATACATAAAAGTGATTACATATCATGTTGCGCATGGAAACAAGGGTCCTGTTGAAAAAATTATACGTGATTAGAGCATTTCAATCTGCATAACCTTATTTCCCACCTCCTTGTGTTGTGCGGACCACATGCTATCTTTTTATGGCAGAGCTACTATCGAACAAGAATGATAACATACATGATAGGACCACCATGATTTGACTAGCGTTGGGCCAAAATATACTGTTCCGAATGTTTTCACTCGGCCCAAATTTTAGCCCAATATGACAAGGCTGGGTCGAGCGAGTTTTGCAAATTCCTTGTCAAAGACTCAAACGTGTTGCACTAATGGACGCTGGAAGCATTAAAGGGTGTCATTTTCTAGTCAAAACGGTGGAGGGAGTGAGTCGCGCACACCCTACCCGAAATGTGTTGTTTCCGCTTTATTCTCAGTCTAGATTTTTTCGAGTTCTGGAAATTTTCAAGTCCCACTTGGCTCTAACTCATTTTTGGAGGTTTCCTTTCTCCATCGGTTTTCACATGTTTAGATCAAATTGGTTGCTCTGCTTTTACGATGTTTTCCTTTTTCAAATATTTCATTCAGCAATCTTCTACTCTCACAATTAAAGTTGAAAATAAAAATTGAGTTTAAAAATTTTGTTTAAATAAATGTTTTGATTTTAGAAATTAAAATTTTTTAAAGTAATTGAATTTGAGGGCTTGGCCCTGATAAGTCCTGTAAAAAAAGATTTGAACCCGAGTAGCCCTTCAAACCTTATTATATTATTATTATATTTTTTTTTTAATAAAACACGTGTTTGAAACCAAAAAGGACCTGCTCACCTGAAGTACTGATCCTACATGCATTATATTATTATTAATTTTAATTTATTCTAAAATTGATTTAATATAATTTAATAAATATCAGCCTATAGTATAAAATTTCTAATATTTTTATTTTTTTATAATTATTTTGTTTGTGTATTTATAAAAAAATGAACTTTTTTTACCAAGATTTAAATTTTTTTACTAAATTTTTAAATGTATGTTGTTCAATTTCTAAAAGATAATGAGATTTTTTCAAAAAATTTTAAAATATTTTAATTAATTTATAGTGCTTAATTTTATTTTAATTTTTCAGGATAGGGCTTATGGGCCCAGCCCTAAACCCTTCAAATAAGGGTCGAGCCTTAGAAAAGGGATGAAAAATGAAAAATCGAGCTTAAGAGCTTATTCCTTTATGTGCCGGGCCCATAAGGGTCGAGCCTGCCTGTTTTCCTAACTTTACTCACAATGTCAATCCTTAAAAGCGGGTTTCTAATTTCATGAGATAAAAAAAAAAAACTTGCCTTGTTCTTATTGATAGTAACATGTTAGCATAAAATATAAAATTTAGGGTTAAAAGAAAAATTTACTATGAAGTTTTTTTCTCAGATCATCTAACATCATTAAGTAGATGAGATTACAAAAATACCTCTAACATTTATTTAATAGGTGCAACTATTCCAAAACCATTTGTAGAACTCAACTTGGTTGTGAAAATAAATGTGTAAGCGAATAGTTGAATTATTTTGCTAATGTGAAGTCTGACATGGTTATATTGCATCATTTTCTCCAACCTAAAGGCCTTTCCTCATTCTTCTCTTATTCTCTCTCTTGACTATTGACAATAGCTCTCCCTCCCTCGCTCTTGACTAAGCAAGTTTATTGCTAATCCTTCCTCTCCCTTGGCTAATCATTAGTTCCGCAAAACAATATATTCATAGTTTACATTGAGAAACAAAAAATCCATGATGGTTCCATGAGCACAATTAGAAACTAATATTAATTCACTCACAATTATTCCTAAAAACTGAATTGACATTGCAACATCCCTAAGAAACTGAGGAATTCATAGGGATATATATATATATATATTATTTCTTTGTTCAAGAAGAAACACTGCAATAAAAGTTGAAAGACATGAGACATGAGAATAACACTTTAAGAGCGATGCTTCAAGTTTTGGATAGCAAATACCAAAAGGTCTAGTGTCAACTTCAAGAAATGAGAGGCATGGACTTGAATCAAATTACATTAGTGTTTAGTTATCATGATACGAATAATACGAAACCAAGAATTGAGTTACCCATAACACATAAGCCATTGCAGATCTTCACTAAAACCCATCTTCTCTCTGCTCAGTCTCTCTTTATTTCTACTCTCTCTTTCACTCTCTAACTCCTTCTCATCTTCTCCTTGTTGTGACTTGACACCCACAACCAATTAACCACAACCCTCGCCCTTTTTCTGTAACATCCTGAATTCATGATTCTTGCATTAATGCTAGTTAAGGGATGAATTAGTAATTTAATGTGAGATTAGGGTTTTGGGATAATGGAATGTTATTTTGACTCTTTGGGATGTTATATGGATACATTGGAGTGAAAGAATGACATTGCGAAGTAGAGTATGTGAGTGTGGTGAGGAGTTTCCTTACTGTGTCATACACCACGCTAGTATTGGATGCACTGCGGCACATGGTACATAATTTTGATAGATAAAGACATGTATTAGCTTATGAAGGCAAAGGAAAAAATGAGAAAAACGCACAAGAGAGGGAGAGGGAGAAGAACCTCTGCTAGGGCATCCAATCTCAAGAGCAAAGATAATGTTTTTGACCTGTTACTTATCAAGTAAGTCTTGTGCCCTTAACCTTCAATTCTACCATATTTATTCTTAGTTTAAACTATTGAGAAATTGAATCTAGAGGTTTTAAGAAGTTAATTTCTTATCCTATAGTAATAGATAGATTTTTTTAGAGGAAATTAGGACTTTGTGATTAGTTTGAGTCTAATCGATAAAGCTTTAAAGCTGTTCGTTCAAATTGGTTGATTTAGAAAGAGGAAATTTGAGAATAAGCATAATAATGCTTGAAATAAGATGTAAGTGACTGTTGTAAGTAGGAATATAATTAAATAAGAGAAATGATAGCATTTAAGTGCTTGATTGCTATAATTGGCACTTTTAGGCATTAAAATAATTGACTCTGGTTGCTAGTTTTCGTGTAGATCTTCATGTGTGATGTGTCGAGTAGCTAAAGAGACTTAAGTAAGGGAGTATAATACGAGTAACCCTTTATTGCGAACAAAAGGGTTGAGGTAACTATATATTTGTTATACTTATTTAACTATTATAACTATGTATAAGTAAATGTGTAAATTATAATTTTAATGTTTA